TTAAATTTTTTTTTTTTTTTAAAAATTTTCCTAAAAACCCCCCCAAAATTTTTTAAAAAATTTGGGTTTTTTAAAAACCCCGGTTTTAGGCCCCCTTTTTTTTCCCAAAAAATGGGGCCCCGATTTTTTGGGAAAAATTCCCCGGGCCCCCTTTTTTTTTCCCCAAAAATTTTTAAAAAAAAAAAAGGGAAAAAAAAAAATTTTTTTTTTGGGGTTTTTCCCCCCCGAAGGTTGGGGGTTAAAAAGGGGGTGGGGGGGCAAACCCCTTTTTTGGTTTACCCCAAAAAAAAAAAAGGGGGGTTAAAAAGACCCGGGGGTTTTTAAAAAAAAAAAAAAAACCCCCAAAAAAAGGGGCCCCCAAAAAAGGGTTTTTTGGGAAATTTTAAAAAAAAATTTTGCCTTTTTTCCCCAAGGGGAAAAAAAAACCAGGGTTTTAAAGGTTTTTTTTTCCCCCCGGAAAAAGGGGGTTTTTTAAAAAAAAGGGGGCCGGGGGGGGTTTAAAAAAAAAACCCCCTTTTAAAAAATTTTTTTAAATTTGGGGAAAAAAAAAAAATTTTTTGGGGGGAAAAGGGGGGGGGAAAAAAAAAAACCCCGGCCAAAACCGGAAAGGGGGGGTAAACCCCCCCCCCCCCTTTAAACCCCCCTTTTTGGGGGGGGAAAAAACCCCCCCCCGGGAAAAAAAAAAAAAAAACCCCCCCCCCCCAAAAAAAAGGGGGGGTAAAGGGGGGGGGTTTTTTTTTCCCCCTTTTGGGGAAAAAAAATTTAAAAAAAAATTTAATTAAAGGGGTTTTTTTTTTGGGAAAGTTTTGGGAACCCCCCAAAAAAAAAAAGGGCCCTTTCCAAAAAAAAAAGGGGGGTTTTTTTTAAAAAGGGGGGGAAAAAAAACCCCCTCCCAAAAAAAAAAGGGTTTTTTGGGGGTTAAACCCCCCGGGAAAAACTTTTTTTAAAATTTTAAAAAAACCCCGCCCCCCCAAAAAGGGGGGTTTAAAAAAAAAATTTTTTTTTTTTTAAAAAAAAGGTTTAAAATTTTTAAAAAATTTTTGGGGGGTTTTGGGGTTTTTTTTAAAATTTTTTTTTTTTTGGGGTTTTTAAAAAAAATTTTTTAAAAAAAATTTTTTTCCCAAAAAACCCCTTTTTTCCCCCCCCAAAAAAAAAAAAAAAAACCCCCCCGGGAAAAAAAAAAAAGAAAAAAAAAAAAAAAAAAAGGGGAAAAAAAAAATTTCCCCCCAAAAAAAAAAAAACCCTTTTTTTTCCCCCAAAAACTTAAAAAATTTTTTTTCCCCCCCCCCCCCCCTTCCCCCCCCCCCCCCCCCCTTTAAAATTTACCCGGGAAAAGGGAAAGGAAATTTTTTTTTTAAAATTTTTTAAAAAAAAAACCCCCCCCCCTTTTTCCCCAAAAAAAAAAGGGGGGGGGGGCCCCCAAAAAAGGGGGGGGGGCCTTTTTTTTTTCCCAAAAAAACCACGGTTTGGGTTTTTGGGGGGAAAGGGGGGGGCCCCCCCCCCCAAATTAAAAGGGGGAAAGGGGGGAAATTGGGCCCCTTTCCCCGGGAAAAAATTTTTTTATTAAAAAAAAACCCCCCAAAAAAAAAAAAGGAAAAAAAAAAGGTTTTCATTTTAAAAAAGGGAATTAAAAAAAAAAAGGGAACCCCAAAAAAAAACCTTTTTTTTTTTTAAAAAAAAACCCGGTTTTTAGGAAATTTTTTTTAAAAAAAAAAAAGGGTTTTCCCCCCCCAAAAACCCCCCCCGGGGCCTTTTTTTTGGGTAATTTTTTCCCCAAAAAAAATTTTTGGTTCCCCAAAAATTTTAAAAAAATTTCCCCCCTTTAAAAAGGGGTTGGGGTTCCCAAAAAAAATTTAAAAAACCCCCCAAAATTTGGGGGGGGAAAAAAAACCCCCCAAAAAAAAATTTTTTTTGGTTCCCCCCCAAAAAAAAAAAAAATTTTTTTTTTCCCGGGTTTTGGGGTTTTTGGGGGGGCCCCCAAAAAAAAATTTTTTCCCCCCCCGGGGGGTTTTTTAAAATTTTTTTTAAAAAAAAAAAAAACCCCCCCAAAAAAAAAAAAGGGGGGGGAAATTTTTTTTTTCCCCCCGGGGGGGAAAAATTTTCCCCCCAAAAGGGGTTTTTTTCCCCCCTTTAAAAAAAAAAATTTTTTAAAAAAAAAACCCCTTTTCCCCCAAAAAATTTTTAAAAAAAAAGCCAAAAAATTTTTTAAAAATGAAAAAAAAAGGGGGGGTTTTTTCCCCTTTTTTCCAAAAATTTAAAAATTTTTAAAAGGAAAATTTAAAAAGGGGGGGAAAACCCCCCCCCCCAAATTTTTTTGTCCCTTTTTTTTTTTCCCCCTTTTTTTTTTCCCCCCCCCTTTGGGGGAAAAAAAAACCCCAAAAAAAAAAAACCCCCCCGACAAAAAAAAAAAATTGGGGTTTTTCCCCTTTTAGAAAAAATTAAAAAAAAAAAAAAAAAAATTTTTTTAAAAAAATTTTTTTTTAAAAAAAAACCCCCCCCAAAAACCTTGGGGAAAAATTTTTTTGGGAAAAAAAGGGGAAAAAAAAGGGCCCCCCCCTTTTTTCCCCCCCCCCTTCCCAAAAAAAAATTTTTTTTTCCCCGGGGCCCCAAACCCCCCCCCCAAAAAACCCGGAAAAAAAAAAAGGGGGGGGGGGGGGGGGGGGGGGGGGCCCCTGGAAACCCAACCCCCTTTTTTCCCCCGGGGGGGGGTTTTTCCCCCCGGTTTAAAAAAAACCTTTTTTTAATTGATATACAGCAACACAGGTTGATTTGATAGAAATCATTACTGCAACATTGACAGCCTACTAAAAAGGGATTTTATATTCCCTGCCGTTTTAATTATAATTTTGGAGGGGGAGGGTTACCTGTTTTATTTCAAACGCTCGGGGAAGGCCAGGTAAAAATATATTTCCCCCGGGGGAGGGCCATCCATTTTCAATTCTGAGGTCATATTACCTCCAGGTATCCCTCAATATAAATATCGTTCACTCCCTTTCGTCCATAAATACATTAATCTCCAAAGGTGAAGTCAAAGCAATGGCATTGACATTTGCCAAGAGTGTCATTGAAAAAACAGGGAGACCCATTACACTGACAGTCCTCTTCATTACACTGATGAGTTGTAGCTATTGTTGAGAATGTTGTAAGGATAAAATTTGAGGTTGAGCTGTGGGCTGATGTTGACTGACTGTCTCCCTGTGGCTGCACAATTGTGGTCATTGTAACGCTTTGAGTTGACAGTCTACTTTCTGTGGTCGACCCTGGAATCATTGTCATACAGTGAGGGAAAAAAGTATTTGATCCCCTGCTGATTTTGTACGTTTGCCCACTGACAAAGAAATGATCAGTCTATATTTTTAATGGTAGGTTTATTTGAACAGTGAGAGACAGAATAACAACAAAAAAATCCAGAAAAATGCATGTCAAAAAATGTTATAAATTGATTTGCATTTTAATGAGGGAAATAAGTATTTGATCCCTCTGCAAAACATGACTTAGTACTTGGTGGCAAAACCCTTGTTAGCAATCACAGAGGTCAGACGTTTCTTGTAATTGGCCACCAGGTTTGCACACCTCTCAGGAGGGATTTTGTCCCACTCCTCTTTGCAGATCTTCTCCAAGTCATTAAGGTTTTGAGGCTGACGTTTGGCAACTCGAACCTTCAGCTCCCTCCACAGATTTTCTATGGAATTAAGGTCTGGAGACTGGCTAGGCCACTCCAGGACCTTAATGTGCTTCTTCTTGAGCCACTCCTTTGTTGCCTTGGCCGTGTGTTTTGGGTCATTGTCATGCTGGAATACCCATCCACGACCCATTTTCAATGCCCTGGCTGAGGGAAGGAGGTTCTCACCCAAGATTTGACGGTACATGGCCCCGTCCATCGTCCCTTTGATGCGGTGAAGTTGTCCTGTCCCCTTAACAGAAAAACACCCCCAAAGCATAATGTTTCCACCTCCATGTTTGACGGTGGGGATGGTGTTCTTGGGGTCATAGGCAGCATTCCTCCTCCTCCAAACACGGCGAGTTGAGTTGATGCCAAAGAGCTCCATTTTGGTCTCATCTGACCACAACACTTTCACCCAGTTCTCCTCTGAATCATTCAGATGTTCATTGGCAAACTTCAGACGGGCATGTATATGTGCTTTCTTGAGCAGGGGGACCTTGCGGGCGCTGCAGGATTTCAGTCCTTCACGGCCTAGTGTGTTACCAATTGTTTTCTTGGTGACTATGGTCCCAGCTGCCTTGAGATCATTGACAAGATCCTCCCATGTAGTTCTGGGCTGATTCCTCACCGTTCTCATGATCATTGCAACTCCACAAGGTGAGATCTTGCATGGAGCCCCAGGCCGAGGGAGATTGACAGTTCTTTTGTGTTTCTTCCATTTGCGAATAATCGCACCAACTGTTGTCACCTTCTCACCAAGCTGCTTGGCGATGGTCTTGTAGCCCATTCCAGCCTTGTGTAGGTCTACAATCTTGTCCCTGACATCCTTGGAGAGCTCTTTGGTCTTGGCCATGGTGGAGCGTTTGGAATCTGATTGATTGATTACTTCTGTGGACAGGTGTCTTTTATACAGGTAACAAGCTGAGATTAGGAGCACTCCCTTTAAGAGTGTGCTCCTAATCTCAGCTCGTTACCTGTATAAAAGACACCTGGGAGCCATAAATCTTTCTGATTGAGAGGGGGTCAAATACTTATTTCCCTCATTAAAATGCAAATCAATTTATAACATTTTTGACATGCGTTTTTCTGGATTTTGTTGTTGTTATTCTGTCTCTCACTGTTCAAATAAACCTACCATTAAAATTATAGACTGATCATTTCTTTGTCAGTGGGCAAACGTACAAAATCAGCAGGGGATCAAATACTTTTTTCCCTCACTGTAGGTGTGGTGAATTCTGTTGTTTGAGACTCCATTGAGGTAGGGATTGATGTGTTTTGGGGTTGAGTTACAGTTACATCTTGTCTTGTAATAACGTTATGTCTGTGGTGGAGGACGTCAGTAGTCTTTGTAGAGTTTATAGTTGTGAATGGTTTGGAAAGACTCTCTTGTGCAGTTGAGACAACAGTTGTACTTTCTGTTGAAGGTTGGCTTGTGGAACCATGCTCTTAAGTAGTCGTCCCAGTTGAAGACATTTCCAAAGTGGATTGTGACATACCTGATGTTGTCAATATATTGGTGGTTGGACTGGTATGTTCAGTTGTTTGAGACTCCATTGAGGTAGGGATTGATGTACTTTGGGGTTGAGTTACAGTTATGTCTTGTCTTGTAATAACAGGAAGGATGTTTTGTCTGTAGTGGAGGGGGACATCACTGATTCAGTCGTCTCTCAGGAGTTTGTAGTTGTGAATGGTGTGGAAAGATTATATTCTGTTGTTGAGACCACAGCTGTACTTTCCATTGACGGTTGGCTTGTGATACCATGTTCTTCAGTAGTCATCTGAATTGAATACATTTCCAAAGTGGATTGTGACATACCTGATTTTGAGAATATATTGGTGGTTAGACTGATGTGTTTAGTTGTATAAAACTCAGTTGAGTTAAGGATTGAAGTGCTTTGCGTTGGAATTTCAGTTATGATTTCCTGACCTCTGGTGGGGCCAAGTTCGTGGGTTGTTGAAGTTGAAGATGTTTCTTGGGTGTTCAATGAAACCTCTGATTGGTTCACTTTCGCTTGTAGGTGGCATTGTTGTGGACAAGAGGTCTGTGACTCCAGCAGATTTGGACTGTGTGATTTGGACTGTGTGATTTGGACTGTGTGATTTGGACTGTGTGATTTGGACTGTGTGATTTGGACTGTGTGATTTGGACTGTGTGATTTGGACTGTGTGATTTGGAATGTGTGATTTGGACTGTGTGATTTGGAATGTGTGATTTGGACTGTCCTTTCTGTTGTTTCTCCACTTACATCACTTAGGTATTTTGAAGTGTGTTGAGGAATAGTGGTCTGCAACACTATGTGGAGGTGATAACGTTTGTGTTGGAAGTTGACATTGAGTTTTCTACATCAGAAGAGCAGTCATCAACAACACTTACAGTGTTCTTCATCTGTCCAGCTGTGGTTTATGGATTTGTTTCTGTGGAACTCTGCATTTATTTGTAACTCCAGGTGAGGATGTTATGTCTGTAGTGGAGGGGGCTGTAAGTGATTCAGTTGTCTTTGTAGAGTTTGTAGTTGTGAATGATGTGGAAAGATGATCTCCTGTGGTTGAGAACGTAGTTATACTTTCCTCTATTGGTTGGCTTGTTCTTTTGAACCCATCTTCAGTAGTTGTCTGCATGGAAGAATGGTCCACCGTGGATTGTTCAGACTCCATTGTGATAGGAATTGATGTGCTTTGGGTTTGAGTTGGAGTTACATCTTTTCATGTAGTAACAGGTGAGGATGTGATGTGTATATAGAGGGGGACGTTTCCAATTCACTTGTCACTTCCGGTTCACTGGGGTTTTCCACGGATGTTACACTTTAGGTTGATTTGAGGTTTTGGGTAGATGGTCATCCACTACGTAGTGCTGTCAAGGGCTTCTTTCAATTGTTTTGAAAGGTTTATAGAACCTGATAATTCCTTATCAGTAATTGTAAAATTGTTTGTAGACTGTTTTATTTTTGCCAGAATGTCCCATTGATTCTTCCCAGTGGAATCTGAGTGAGCTTGTCACTTTGAATATTGATCTGGTTAAACATTGAAAGAAAACGTGCTTTCACTATTTCTCTATTGAATTTGTACATTTCCTACATGCCACTCTGCCTTATTTCAACATTCCTGAATATTCAAAAGGAATATTTTAACCTTGTGAATTCTAAATGAAAAATACAAATCTAATGCATAAAATATGAATATGTAATAAAGCAAACAGCTAATATTTCTAAGCACTTTGTGTATGGCTCAGTTGGTAGAGCATGGCGCTTGCACCGCAAGAGTTGTGGGTTCGATTCCTCGTGGCCACCCATTCGGGAAGTGTATGCAAGCATGACTGTAAGTCGCTTTGGATAAACGCGTCTGCTAAATGGCATATATTATAGCAATGTGTACCTACCAATGTAGCTAAATTCTCTGAGCAGCATACAGTATTTAGGGCAAAGTAACTCATGATAATGAATTATGAGCCTTTTGATAAAAATGTTGCATGTCTCTTTTCAGCATTACAGGTGGTAAGGAATTGTATGTGTAGTTGTCACTGCTCAGTAAGCATCATATTAACAATCTGTGTCATATTGATTTTGAGATAAAGTAATAATGTCACGGTCGTTGAGAGACGGGTCAGACCAAGGTGCAGCGTGGTATGCGAACATGTTTATTAAACTCAATAAACATAAACAAAACAAGAAACAACATAACGTGAAGTCCTCAGGCTATACAAATACAAGCCTACACACGGAACAAGATCCCACAACTAAGGTAGGCAACCAGGCTACTTAAGTATGATCCCCAATCAGAGACAACGAGCGACAGCTGTATTATATTGGTTTAATCACACCCGGCAAAACTGAAAACACACATCTAGATCTAAACATAGGAATCCCTAACATAGATCCTCACGCCCTGACCAAACCAACCAGAGAACAGGCCTCCAAGGCCAGACGTAACCCAGGTGCGCCTCTCAGGGAGGCCGGAGGGGGCGGGCGTGATGACATCTGACCCGGTGCTGCCCAACCCTGTCTGGACCTGGTGTGGGAGACCCCAACTGGAGAGGGCTGGACTGCTTGTGCAATCCCCCACGATCCCGCCCGTCGGACCCGGTGCCGACGACTTTGGGTGAAGTGGAGCGCTGACGGAGCTGAACTTGACCCCGGTGAGCTGACTGCTCTGGCTCCGGAGTGGAAACGCTGACCGGAGCGGCCTGGCATCGGTGGAGCTGCGCGATGCTCTGACTCCGGATTGGATCCTGCTGCCGTAGTGGACTCTGGCACCGTGTGGATCGGAGCCCTTGCTCCGAGTGAACCGCTGACTGGGTTGATGCCCCAGTGGAGCGGACTGCCCTGGGCCTCCGGAGTAGAACCGCTGACCGGAGCTGACTTGGCCCGGTGGAGCGGACTCTTTGGCACCGGAGTTAGGAAACCGCTGACCGTTGCTGGACCAGCACCGGTGGAATCAGGCGTGGCCGGACTGGGGACACGCACCATGGTCTGTGTGCGGGACGTCAGGAACGTGGAAGGCCGGCGTGGAGACACGCACCACAGGTCTGGTGCGAGAGATGGAACGGGCCGGACGAGACTGGGGACACGCACCACAGGTCTGTGCGAGGAGCAGGAACGGGCCGGGCCGGACTCGGAACACGCACCACTAGCCTGGTGGCGGGGGAGCAGGTACGGGGCGTACCGGGCTGGCGACACGCACCACTGGTTTGGTGCGAGGAAGCAGGTACAGGCCGTACCGGACTGGATACACGCACCCACTGGCTTGGTGCGAGGAGCAGTGCACGAGGCGTACCGGACTGGGAACCGGCGCTGGAGGTCTACGACTATACCAGTCCTTTACTCTCCGCGCCCAATCCTCCTCCAGTGAGGACTCCTCCCGGGAGCCCCCACGAGTTAGGGAACAGAAACTCATTGTCGTCGTCATCCTCCGACTCCTCAGTATAAAACTGTTCCCATTCCTGTTCCCATGGTCGTAGGGACTCAAACTGGAACCCCACCGGGTGCAGTGGTCGGGGCTCTTTTCTCTCGATCCCCGACCACCCCTTTAGCCCCCCCCCAATTTTTTTTGGGGGGGGCTGCTTCTCGGCTTTCTCCGTGAACCGTTCCTTGGGTCGCCTTTCTTCCTTGCCTGGCTCCTCCTTCGCCCAGGGTCCTCTACCGGCCAATATATCCCCCATCCAAATGACTTCCCCCCTGTGTAAGGTGTCTGCTGTCCTGGGCACGCTGCTGGTCCGTTTTTGTGGGATTTGTACGGTCGTGAGAAGGTAGACCAAGGTGCAGCGTATCGACATGTTATAAACTCAATAACATAACAAAACAAAAGTAACGGAATCCAGGTATACATCAAGCCTACCACGAACAGATCCACAACTAGGTGGAACAGCTACTAAGTTGATCCCCAATCAGACAACGAGCGACAGCTGTCTCTGATGGGATCCACCGGCCAACATAGAAACACCATCAATCCTAAACATAGGAACCTAACATAGTCTCACGCCTGACCAACCAACCGAGACAACAGCTCTCAGGCAGGGCGTGACAAATAACTAACTATAAAGAATGAATGATGAATAATCTAATAATTAAGTAAGCATCATATTAACAATCTGTGTCATATTGATTTTGAGATAAAGTAATAATGTACGTCGTTGAGAGACGGGTCAGATCATGTGCATTGTAAGCCATGCTTTTAAACTCGAATAAAATATTCAAAAGAAAACTGAACTAAGAAATCAATCTATGCTATAAAATAATATGTAATAAACAAATCAGCAATATGTAAGCACTTGGCTATTAGTGTCAGTCAGGCGTACGCAAGCGTTTGTGGGATTCGATCCGTGGCCATCCATGAGGAACAAGCATCTAACATAATCTAAACCGTGCTAATGGCCTCATATAGCAAGTGTAACAGGCCTCTAGCAATTCTCTGACAGTACCCATCCGGCACCCAAATCATGATGAATTGGCCTTTTGAAAAAAGTGCATGTCTTTGCAGTACAGGTGGGTCAGGATGGAGGTAGTGTCCTGCAGTAGCTCTCTTACAATTGTCCATATTGACCTTGGATAAGTAATAATGTCACGGTCGTTGAGACCCGGGTCAGACCAGACGTATGCCAGTGTCTGGAACATTTTGAACCATCCATAAAAGACAAGACACACATAACGTGAAGTCCTCAGCTACATACAAGCCTACCACGGATGCAGGGATCCCACAACTAGGAGGGAACTGAGGCTAAGTTGAGTCCCTAATCGGACAACGGACCCGGGAGCTGCTCTCTTTGGTGTAACACCACCGGGCAAACATAGAAACCACATCTAGATCGTAAATGGATCCTACATAGACTGACGCCCGACGACCAACCGAGCCCAGGCCTCTAAGGCCAGGGCACTGGACAGTGACGGGACTGCCTGGCACGGTGGAGCGGGAGCTGACTTGGCCCGGGGAGTGGAACCGCTGGACGGTGACGGACCGTTGCGGACCGTGGAACAGGCTGGGCCGGACTGGGGACACGCACCACTGGTCTGGTGCGAGGAGCAGGAACGGGCCAGGCCGGACTGGAGACACGCACCACAGGTCTGGTGCGAGGAGCTGGAACGGGCCGGACCGGACTGGGGACACGCACCACAGGTCTGGTGCGAGGAGCAGGAACGGGCCAGGCCGGACTCGGAACACACACCACTAACCTGGTGCGGGGAGCAGGTACGGGGCGTACCGGGCTGGCGACACGCACCACTGGTTTGGTGCGAGGAGCAGGTACGGGCCGTACCGGACTGGATACACGCACCACTGGCTTGGTGCGAGGAGCATGCACGAGGCGTACCGGACTGGGAACCGGCGCTGTAGGTCTACGACTGTACCCGTCCTTTACTCTCCGCGCCCAATCCTCCTCCAGTGAGGACTCCTCCGGGAGCCCCCACGAGTTAGGGAACAGAAACTCATTGTCGTCGTCATCCTCCGACTCCTCAGTATAAAACTGTTCCCATTCCTGTTCCCATGGTCGTAGGGACTCAAACTGGAACCCCACCGGGTGCAGTGGTCGGGGCTCTTTTCTCTCGATCCCCGACCACCCCTTTAGCCCCCCCCCAATTTTTTTGGGGGGGGCTGCTTCTCGGGCTTTCTCCGTGACCGATTCCTTTTGGGTCGCCGTTTCTCCTCTCCTGCCTGGGCTTCCTCCTTCGCCCAGGGTCCTCTACCGGCCAATATATCCTCCCAATTCCAAAATGACTTCCCCACCTGTGTCAAGGGTGTCTGCTGCTCCTGGGCACGCTGCTTGGTCCGTTTTTGGTGGGATCTTCTGTCACGGTCGTTGAGAGACGGGTCAGACCAAGGTGCAGCGTGGTATGCGAACATGTTTATTAAACTCAATAGACATAAACAAAACAAGAAACAACGTAACGCGAAGTCCTCAGGCTATACAAATACAAGCCTACACACGGAACAAGATCCCACAACTAAGGTAGGCAACCAGGCTACTTAAGTATGATCCCCAATCAGAGACAACGAGCGACAGCTGTCTCTGATTGGGAATCACACCCGGCCAAACATAGAAACACCACATCTAGATCCTAAACATAGGAATCCTAACATAGATCCTCACGCCCTGACCAAACCAACCAGAGACAACAGGCCTCTCAAGGCCAGGGCGTGACAAATAACATAACTATTAAATGAATGCATGATGATGTGAAATAATCTAATAAATTAAGATAGTCGCACACTCTATATATAAACTCCCAGTAATTTATTGGGTAAACCACCAACGTTTCGGCATCACTGTGCCTTCTTTAGGGTAATGTCATGAATGCTTGAACCAGGTTATGTAGACAAACAGTGTGTCATAATTATTAGCATGATGAGAATTAATTGAGTGAAACTGATAAAAGACAATAGTTTACAGCATTGAATATATTAGGCTATTGTTATCATATGGCAACATAATTAGATATTGTACATAATAGGCTTTTTATAGCTTAAAGTTTAATCGCCATTAGTCAGCACCTCTACACAAAATGTCTCTGGGTGTGCGCCAGCTCATGCTTTTTATTAGTGAAAGAATCTAATAAAACAGTCTTTAATCTGACAAAGGATAAACATGCCACCTCTGGCAGTTACTGGCAGTAGCTACAGAACATCTGCAGTCATAGGTTAGTAAGATTCTTTCCATATTTTCATGCATGTTGATGCTAATATTTAATGTTTTCAATGTTTAAGTTACTATACTTTTCCTCTCCAAGTTAGCATTGTCAATGTCAATCTTTTGTTTAATAAGTTATTGCTTCAGTTAAGGAATTTACCTATTGTGACAAATATAGTTATCATAATGGTAAGGATTATGGATGCCAGTCTTTTCCCCTCTGTGTCTCAGGATGCCCCACATATTTCCTATATTGTAATAGTCTCTCAGTCCAGAGATATTTAGAAAATGTCATCCACAGTCCAGTTAATTGTTTGAAGCCTGAGTAGTTCTGAAGTAAAACCTTTAAAAAGTTTGTATTATTTGAGTATAAATAATACACCAAATTATTATGCCAACTGGATTACCATATAATTACCAACAAAAGTCCCAATTGTGTGCCTTTGGAGCAAGGAATAGATAAAGCCTAATTTAGGCCTACATAACCAAAACAATCACTTTGATAGTAGCGCGATAATGTTGATGGGAAATCTGAATTTATTTGTCTTGTTCCACCTGAAACAACTTAAAAGTGTTCAAGCAATCTGAAGTAAATGTCACAAGTAAAGTGCACCTGTATTGCAGTGCCAGGTGGTTAGGGAACTATATTGTCACGTATCAGTATTTAAATAAGTTTGTTAGATCAAAATAAATATAATCTGGCTATATGACTATGTAACCACAAAAGTGAGACTATTGAAGCTGTTGGGTCTATTGAATTACCTTGCATGTAATACAGCATGTGGGTATGCTATTAATTATATGTAGGCCTAAACATAATTATTATATTCTGAAACTACTGGTGGATAAATTATTCAATTAATTATTATTTCTTCCCCATCCTCTCCATATGTTAAAATGTCACCCTGCTTATGGTACTCAGTTATGCCAACTGCATTTTCACAATGGTGAAGTGGACTGCAGTTCAAATGTTGGTAATGTAAGATGTCTCAAGTTTTGAGGGAGCGTGCAATTGGCATGCTGACTGCAGGAATGTCCACCAGAGCTGTTGCCAGATAATTTAATGTTCATTCATAAGCCGCCTCCAATGTCATTTTAGAGAATTTGGCAGCACTTCCAACCTGCCTCACAACCGCAGACCACGTGTAACCACACCAACCCAGGACCTCCACATCCGGCTTCTTCACCTGCGGGATCGTCTGAGACCAGCCACCCAGACAGCTGACGAAACTGTGGATTTGCACAACCAAAGAACTTCTGCACAAACTGTCAGAAACCATCTCAGGGAAGCTAATCTGCGTGCTCGGTGTCCTCACCAGGGTCATAACCGACTTCAGTGGGCAGATGCTCACCTTCGATGACCACTGGCATGCTGGAGAAGGGTGCTCTTCACGGATTCATCCCAGTTTCAACTGTACCGGGCAGATGGCAGACAGTGTGTATGGCTTTGTGTGGGAGAGCGGTTTGCTGCAGTCAACGTTGTGAACAGAGTGCACCATGGTGGCGGTGGGGTTATGGTATGGGCAACGAACACAATTGCATTTTATCTATGTCAATTTGAATGCACAGAGATACGATGACGAGATCCAGAGACCTGAGGCCCATTGTTGTGCCATTCATCTGCCGCCATCACGTTTTAGCATGATAATGCACAGCCCCATGTCACAAGGATCTGTACACAATTCCTGGAAGCTGAAAATGTCCCAGTTCTTCCATGGCCTGCATACTCACCAGACAAGTCACCCATTGAGCATGTTTGGGATGTTCTGGATTGACGTGTACGACAGTGTGTTCCAGTTCCCGCCAATATCCAGCAACTTCGCACAGCCATTGATGGAGTGGGACAACATTCCACAAGCCACAATCAACAGCCCGATCAACTCAATGCAAAGGAGATGTGTCGCACTGCATGAGGCAAATGGTGGTCACACCAGATACTGACTGGATTTCTGATCCACCACCCCTACTTTTTTAAAATGTTTTAAGGTATCTGTGACCAACAGATGAATATCTCTATTCCCAGTCATGTGAAATCCATAGATAAGGGCCTAATGCATTTATTTCAATTGACTGATTTCCTTTTAAATGAACTGTAACTCTGTAAAATCTTTGAAATTGTTGCATGTTGGGTTTATATTTTTGTTCAGTGTAATTTGTTTTTTTTTAAATCTAAAAACATATTTTGACTTTGTCATTATGAGGTATTGTGTGTAGATAGGTGAGAAGAAAATCAATTTTGAATTCAGACTAACACAAAATGTTGAATAAGTCAAGGGGTATGAATACTTTCTGAAGGCACTGTATGTCTTTACTCTCCTATGTTTGACGGACTGAAATATTGCGTCCAACATCCAACAGGGTCACACTTTAAATAAAGTACAACTTATATAGCATGCATAAAGGTTTCATATGCACTACAAATGCATCACAAATAATCTACAAGCGTATGTCATGCACTATAAATGGTGTATAAACATACACAATGAGTTGTGACATTTGGCAATTCACCCTACAGTGTGAATGGTTATGACACCCTTTATACATAATTTATAGAGTATGACATACGCTTAGATGATGTGTGAAGCATTTATGTAGTGCTAATGAAGTCTTTATGTATGCCATATGAAGCCTACATAAGTTGTTCTTCGTTTAAAATGGGACCTCACAAAGTTAAATGATTGTCCCACAGGGGCCTCTACGCAAAATGCTTCCACATTAGTTTTATATTGGCAGCATGTCAGTAGTGGAATTTCTGTAACCACAGCTCACAGGGTTAAGCCCAATTGTAAACCAACTTAAACAAATTGTTCATTGCATTTATCAGCATTTGATAAGCGACTGAGCTAATTCAAGATACTTCCTGAAAATCGTATTAAAAGCCTTAATTGAGCTATTTGGCATTTAGCCAATGTTAATCTTAAAAACGTATGATTTGGAAACATTGAAAGTATCCCAAACACAATGCTAATTTATAACTTTAATTGACCACAAAAAAACAGTTAATCAAACAAATGTCTTTGCTATTGAGATGTGAATACGCAGCCCTTATCATAATGGTGAAATAAAAAAACACAAATAGCAGGAAAAGCACTGTTTATGAATATTCATAGTTCACATAGAACAAAGGCTTTCACTGGAAACAGTCAACCTTTTGGGAGGGGAATGGCATTTATGGCTGTCCTTCGTGTACAGTTTCCACATCCTGCTATGCTCGACAGTCCCACATGTTCCAGCACTGCAGCGCTCATAGTTCCTGCTGCTTAACTCCATCCTCTGGAGCTGCTTCCTCTGCTAGTTCTGCCAGGGCCCTGCGACGCTCTGTCTCTGTCACCGTCATGGGATGCAGGGGGAAGAACCCAGCCAGTCCTACAGGATCAGAGATGGGAGGGATGACAGTAACTTAGACCACATAGATTCCCAGGTAGCATTGAGACTTTAGTGGAAGTATTGATTACATTTAAAAGTATACTACACTGAACAAAAATATAAAAACGCAACATGTAAAGTGTTGGTCCCATGTTTCACGAGCTGAAATAAAAGTTTTGCTTAACAGCATCATCATCATCATTACACTGGTGCACCTTGTGCTGGGGACAATAAAAGGCCACTCTATAATGTGCAGTTTTGTCACACAATACAATGCCACAGATGTCTCAAGTTGAGGGAGCGTGCAATTGGAATGCTGACTGCAGGAGTGTCCACCAGAGCTGTTGCCAGAGAATTGAATGTTAATTTCCCTACTATAAGCCGCCTCCAACTTCGTTTTAGAGAATTTGGCAGTACATCCAACCGGCCTCACAACCGCAGACCACTTGTATAGCGTCGTGTGGGTGAGTGGTTTACTGATGTCAACGTTGTGAACAGTGCCCCATGGTGGCGGTGGGGTTATGATATGGGCAGGCACAAGCTACGGACAACAAAGACAATTGCATTTAACAATGGCAATTTGAATGCACAGAGATACCTTGACGAGATCCTGAGGCCCATTGTCATGCCATTCATTCGCCACCATTACCTCATATTTCCCAGTCATGTGAAATCCATAGATTTGGGCCTAATGAATGTATTTAAATTGACTGATTTCCTTACATGAACTGTAACTCAGTAAAATCTTAGAAATTGTTGCACGTGTATGCTGAGCATGTACTGACCAACTGGCAAGTGTCTTCACTGACATTTTCAACATGTCCCTGACTGAGTCTGTAATACCAACATGTTTCAAGCAGACCACCATAGTCCCTGTGTCCAAGGACACTAAGATAACCTGCCTAAATGACTACCGACCCGTAGCACTCATATCTGTAGCCATGAAGTGCTTTGAAAGGCTGGTCATGGCTCACATCAACACCATTATCCCAGAAACCCTAGACCCACTCCAATTTGCATACCGCCCCAACAGATCCACAGATAATGCAATCTCTATTGCACTCCACACTGCCCTTTCCCACCTGGACAAGAGGAACACCTACGCGAGAATGCTATTCATTGACTACAACTCAGCGTTCAACACCATAGTGCCCTCAAAGCTCATCACTAAGCTAAGGATCCTGGGACTAAACACCTCCCTCTGCAACTGGATCCTGGACTTCCTGACGGGCCACCCCCAGGTGGTAAGGGTAGGTAACAACACATCCACCACGCTGATCCTCAACACGGGGGCCCCTCAGGGGTGCGTGCTCAGTCCACTCCTGTACTCCCTGTTCACCCATGACTGCATGGTCAGGCACGACTCCAACACCATCATTATGTTTGCCGACGACACAACAGTGGTAGGCCTGATCACCGACAACGATGAGACAGCCTATAGGGAGGAGGTCAGAGACCTGGCCGTGTGGTGCCAGGATAACAACCTCTCCCAAGACAAAGGAGATGATTGTGGACTACAGGAAAAAAAAGAGGACTGAGCACGCCCCCATTCTCATCGACGGGGTTGTAGTGGAACAGGTTGAGAGCTTCAAGTTCCTTGGTGTCCACATCACCAACAAACTATCATGATCCAAACACACCAAGACAGTCGTGAAGAGGGCACGACAAAAGCCTATTCCCCCTCAGGAGACTGAAAAGATTTGGCATGGGTCCTCAGATCCTCAAAAACGTTATACAGCTGCACCATCAAGGGTTAAGCCCAATTGTAAACCAACTTAAACAAATTGTTCCTTTCTTTTATCAGCATTTGATAAGCGACTGAGCTAATACAAGAGACTTCCTGAAAATCGTATTAAAAGCCTTTATTGAGCTATTTGGCATTTAGCCAATGTTAATCTTAAAAACGTATGATTTGGAAACATTGAAAGTATCCCAAACACAATAGTAATTTATAACTTTAATTGACCACAAAAAAACAGTTAATCAAACAAATGTCTTTGCTATTGAGATATGAATACGCAGCCCTTATCATAATGGTGAAATAAAAAAAAGTAGGAAAAGCACTGCTTATGAATATTCATAGTTCACATAGAACAAAGGCTTTCACTGGAAACAGTCAACCTTTTGGGAGGGGATTGGCATTTATGGCTGTCCTTCGTGTAGTTTCCACATCGAGAGCATCCTGACTGGTTGCATCACCGCCTAGTATGGCAACTGCTCGGCCTCCAACCGCAAGGCACTACAGAGGGTAGTGCGTACGGCCCAGTACATCACTGGGGCCAAGCTTCCTGCCATCCAGGACCTCTATACCAGGCGGTGTCAGAAGAAGGCCTTAAAAATTGTCAAAGACTCCAGCCACCCTAGTCATAGACTGTTCTCTCTGCTACCGCACGGCAAGCGGTACTGGAGCGCCAAGTCTAGGTCCAAAAGACTTCTCAACAGCTTCTACCCCCAAGCCATAAGACTCCTGAACAGCTAATCATGGCTACCCGGACTATTTGCACTGCCCCCCCCCCCCCCCACCCCCCACCCCATCCCCCTCTTTTACACTGCTGCTACTCTGTTTATTATTTATGCAGTCACTTTAACTCTACCCACATGTACATATTACCTCAATTACCTCGACTAGCCGGTGCCCCCGCACATTGACTCTGTACCGGTACCCCCCTGTATTTAGCCTCCCTACTGTTATTTTATTTTACTGCTGCTCTTTAGTTATTTGCTTTTATTTTTTTTACTTAACACTTTTTTCTTTAAAAAGCTGCATTGATGGTTAAGGGCTTGTAAGTAAGCATTCCACTGTAATGTCTACACCTGTTGTATTCGGTGCATGTTGCAAATAAAAATTGATTTGATGTTGCGTTTATATTTTTGTTCAGTATAGTTGGTTTATGAACCTGTGAGTCAGTGTCTTTTCCATGATGTAGGTCTTACACTGGTCATTTCAATAAACCTGTAAAGTGTGTGTTGTCATGGTGAGGGAACACACCTAGAAGTTTGGCCACAGGCTTCGTTGGATGTGCACCACAGCCCATCCAGTACTTGATCCTGTCGGAGTTGATGCTGACCAGTTTCTCATTGTAGATGTTTGGCAGGGGGTCATAAGAGCCTAGCTGTTCTATGTATTTACTGTCTCGTGCTCGCTTGTTGTAAGCTGCCACAATGCGGTAGAAAGGTCTGTTAGACTGTTTGTGGCCAGCCATTGCCAATCTGATGACAATGTGTCCTCCATGGTACGTCTTCAGTAGGAAGGATGCTGTAAGGATAATACAACAAAATCAGCATTGTATTGTTTCGTTAAAGGTGAAATGCATATGCAATTAAATTGGCTGATGTTTTCATTCAAAGAGTAAGCAATTAGTTGGGACCAGAGTTCGGGTGGTGTGTTTTGTCAGGTAAATAGCTAGGTCAAAGGTTATCAGGTGATCCGCCAGGTAAATTAGGGATTCACACTGTTTTTACTGCAAAACACACCACAACCGCTCCAATAACACTATGCTATCTATCTGCAAAATACTTGAATATGGATCGCCACCCGCCACAACGGTAATTTAACATGGTGGAGCTCTATTTTAACATAATCTTCAATAGTCTTTAAAAAAAATGATGCACTCACTAACTGTAAGTCGCTCTGGATAAGAGCGTCTGCTAAATTACTAAAATGTCAAATGTAAATGGAAACACCACGCATCCAACAGTATTTCATGTCTGGACAATAACAAATTAGCAAGTGGCCATTCCATACTACAAATAACACTCAATTTCTAGCTATTGTGTAGCTATCTGTTGTGAATTTCATGAAATAAGCATTACTTATCAGTAACATAATTGATATAACTATTAACTAGCTATAGCTAGCTAGACACCACAATCATGGAGTAACGTTACTGTACTTAGCTAACGTTACAGACATTTCGGCCTTGCTAATAAGCGTACCCCAACGTGCTAGTTGGCCCATGTTGACAGCGTTAGTTAAATATCAACCTTATCATACTTACATAGATGGACCATGTTTAGGCAAAAGAGGTCAAACAAATACGTTAAAGATCGAAAACGTTTTCAACATTACAGAAAAGAGCACTTCTAATGTGACATTCGTAAGGGTGCAGCCATTTTTAAACAGGAAGTGATATTCTCCTTCGTGTAGTTTCTTTGTCACAAGACGCTGTGTATTGCTGCCTTTCGCAGGTCGGAGTGCGGATAGCACATTTTGGTCACCAGAACATTTTGGTCACCAGAAAAAAGGGAAAAGGGGAATAGGAAAAACTTAAATTGCACCACCATCTAACCCTACCCTTATAGATAGGTTGGTTGTTTAGCAACCAAACCTACGCAAGCAAAGCAGACAGGTTGGCTTAGATTGTTGACAACATGTAAGCTATTGTTCGTCTCCAATGTTTATTGAAAACATAAAAAACATTTGCACAATGAGTACTTGTTGTCTCTCAAATACATAATTACAGTTGTTGGTTAGCAAGCTAGCGAATTTGAGCCATATTAGCACTGACATGAAATCAGTCAAAACCAGTGGCGGCTCCTGAAAAAATTCTCAGGAGGGGCAATTTTTCTGATGATTTAGGTGACCTACACACATTTAAAAAAAGATATGTCCAGCAACAACATGAAGACAGGGGCAGCATATAAGTCAATACCAGAAGCATTTATTGACTGATCTCAAAAGTGTTGGCTTACCAGGGTTGGTGGAGCCCTCAGTTTCATCTTTGCCTCGCAAAGCTAACTCAAACACTCCGCAAAACTTCACACACTGGATTAGCCGGCTGAGGATGTGGCGGTTCTTGCTAATGTCGTAGTAAATATATTTGTTATAGTGAATATGGAATATGATATGTTGAGTAAAATGTTGTGCTAAGATCTATTTAGGTCAGGAGCTGGTTATAAGTTCTGTTCCTATCCAATAACAATGGACAAAAGGGTCCTATCTTGTCAGCCTTGTCAGCAGGTGGCCAAGGACAACACCCACGCCATAGGCCTCTCAGTTCTTCCAACTCACGAGTTCTTGCTCTGAGGACACACACACACAAACACACACACACACACATCATCACTGTTAAACACACACACACACACACACATCATCACTGTTAAACACACACACACACACAAAAATCCCCTCTCTTAGGCTGAACATTTGAAGACAGAGAACCCGACTCAGAGCCAATGCAACAGTGACAGTAGCCTGCAGGGGACCTCGCCCAACTCATCAGGACCAATCAGAAGATCAGAACTACTAGATTGAACCTACTTCATTTATTGCATAAAATGTCTGCACACAATGTTTCGGGGCTCTCTTCAGATAATAATAATAATAATAATAATAATATGCCATTTAGCAGACGCTTTTATCCAAAGCGACTTACAGTCATGCGTGCATACATTTTTGTGTATGGGTGGTCCCGGGGATCGAACCCACTACCTTGGCGTTACAAGCACCATGCTCTACCAGCTGAGCTACAGAAAGTGGATACTCATGGATGCGCATTGCAATTGTAAAATGTCAACACAATTGGAGACACCACGTCATTTTTGGAGACATGTTATTGACAGTAAACTATTGTAGATGCGACTGCTAACTAAATAAAACATTTTAGCTGGCTAGCTAATCATCTTAGCTAAATGTGGGGCAAACAATTCAGTTATTTACCGTTAATTTGAGGGATTGGGGTGAAAGAAATCGAGTTACATAGTGATACTTTACGATATACTGTATTGACAATATCGCAATATTTTAGCGCTAGTTGGCTGTACCTGCACCAAAACACCATTATTGTTCCTTCATAGCTTGTTCTCAATCTTTTCACATTGGGAGCCAATTTGTTTTCAGCCCTTTTATTTCCATGACTGATCAAAACTCGTTCTCATGGCTTTCTGATCCCTCTGCAACAGACATATGGTGCGCAATAAAATCACAGTATCGAATCGCAATACGTATAGAATCATGAGACTCGCAATGCTGATGCATATATCTTATCGTGAGGTTCCTGGCAATTCCCAGCCCAAGTTCATTTGCCACAACAAATCTCTTCGCTAGCAAACGCGATGTCTTCTCCAAAACGGCAATGTGTCTCCAGCAATGTTTACTTTTTTGACGTTCTATGGCATCTCCAATTTCCAAGCATATATGACCACATGTAATATTTTGGTAAGTGATGCAAGTAGTGAACTATGTAGGGCCAGGATGTAAAATATATGTAGCTGCAGCAATTTCTCTTATCTGATATGGTAAGTAATGGGGCTTAATTTATAGCTCCCTAAGAGTTTGACGAACGGGTCCGTGAACGCGATTCCAGATATATTTACCTCTGAATAAACTGCCTTTATTACACCATATCCACATCCAGTAAACTTGTGATTATCAACACTAACCTCATTGTTGTGGCGGCGGACAGCTAGCCTGTATCCCTCGTCATCCAGTTGAGTGAGTGGCAATGTCTTTTTTCGTTCGTACCAATTTTTGGAAAATCCTCGGGTGTAGGACTTTCCGCCTTTAGTAGAAACCTGTTGAATTATTAAATTTGGTCTGGGAGGTCCTAATTGTTTCGTTGCCAATTTATCTTCATTTGTTCGCCGACAAAAAGGAACTTCTTTCAAACAATCCACTCTTTTCTCAGTTACGTTCATGGTTACGTAACGTATGACGAAAGCGCGTAAGTGCAAGCCCACAGACACCCATTGAGATTGTATTGAAGGCTCTGAAATTTGAAAAAAATAGATTTTACATGGGAGTCTATGACAGACTTCTGGGCGATTTTCAACCTGACTGAAATCGCCCCAAAAGGGGGGGGAGCCATTTGAAGCACGACTTTAGCCTGATTCGACATTTAGTGGCAGTGTGGCACTGTGGCAGATCAGACGTATAGATTACAACACTGATAACTACTGTTGCCGTGATATAATTGATTAGAAAAAAAATCCCTTCCTTTTCCCGTTTGGCAGTGCGTCGCCCATATCGCCCTATTGAACAGGCCGCCCCTGGTCAAAACAAGACATGGTATCAAGAACTAGATGAAATGAGCCACTTACGATTCCTCACATGGCAGTTTCTTGTAATTCTTGCTAGCAAACTGGCCATCCAGAATCACAACAACAGACTCACTTCTGTCACATGGAAGCGCACACATCGTTTTCGTGATGTTGTCAGCTAACCCATCTAGCAATACATATGCGGCGTTCAAGTGCAAGTTGGAACAAGGAAACCTTAAAGTTTATGAATTGCTAACTGGTTGTAGTTATAGAGTACCACAGTATGAGTCATAATACCAACCAATCCTAGCGGTCAAACAGGGAAATAGTTCCAATCATTTTTCCACCATTAATTTTCTCCATAGGGGATTTTAGAAACACTTAAAATAAGGGCTGTGTTTCGTGTAGGCTTACGCTGGCGTGATGTTTTGATAACTATTAAATATTTCACGGACAAGGTGACTCTTATCAATACTGTAGCAACCCACACAGACAGCTGTGTGTTATGCTGTTCTTTGGTTGTGTTGTACTTACCAGTACCCAGTGTTCGTGGGGTCCACATGCCAGTCAACCTGGGCATCAAGGCAAAGATACGAATCTCTGGATTAACTATCTAATGTTAGCTAAATGTAGTTATCATGGTTATGAAAACGTCACGCCAGGTTAAGCCTACACAAAACACAGCCCTTATTTTAAGTGTTTCTAAAATCCACTACGGGAAAAACGAATGGAACCATTTTTCTTTTTGACCGCTAGGTTTTATGGGTATTATAACACCTCCACTGTGGGGCTCTATACACGTGCTGTGTTCAACCAGTTAGCAAGTCGTACATTTCCGAGTTTCCTAGTTCCGACTAGCGCATGAACGCGGCAACCATCCCCCAAAACCCACCACCCCATTTGAAGTGTTCCTTAAAGCGTTTCCTTTAATTTTCATAACTGTCCACCAGATGGCGCCAGTGGACTGTATTGCACTGTCAGAGCTCCTAAGTGGAATGATCATCTCCAACAAAAGAGGACACTTTTCCATGTAAGTTGTTGTACACTTTAGCAACACTTGTGATTGTTTGAATAGACAGCCATACAGTCACACACATCTAATAATGAATGAAAAATAATCATCATGGCCCACGATGTGTATCAAAATCAATACATAATATTGATTGAAATGTTTATATTGACTATCTAATTGAGATGACATGTTCAGGTATTTTTAAGACATTAATTTGGTATTTGGTACTCATTAGCTGCTGCAAAAGCATCATCTACTCTTCATGGGGAACACATGAAACATGACACAATAAATAGTACAGAACATTATTAGTCAAGGACTGAAATACATCCATGTAAAACGTCACACATAGCCTACATATCAGTATATACACACAATATCTAGGTCTAATACATAGTACAGTGCAAATTACAATACAATATATATAAAATGGCTGTGCACAGTCCCCTTTGTGCAGCAAGGTGTTCTTTTATCTGTTTTTTAAAACTGGTTTTATTGCTAGCTTGAGTTACCTGGGGTGGCAGAGTTCCATGTAGTCATGGCTCTATTTAATACTGTGCGTTTCCGAGCCTCTGTTCTGGACCTGGGGACTGTGAAGAGAACTTGTATTTCTTGTGTGATACCGATGAGTGTCTGTGAACTGTGTGCCAACTGCATGAACAGACAGTTCAGTACCTTCAACATATCAATACCTCGCACAAAGACCAATAGTGATGCAGTCATTCTCTCCTCAACTTTAAGCTTGCAGATCAATCTGATCAGTCAGGCTAAGTTTCAATTGTCTGTTTTCTATAGTGGATGATAAGTAGGGCTACTATGACTGAAAATACATACATTCATTGAATTGTAGTAGGCTGTCAGGTCTGACTAAATGAAAGATAGTAGTCTGTAAAATGTATATGCTACAGTATTTATGTTTTTATATTTATGTTTACCTGTGTAAAGGAAAGACATGTGGAAATACAGTATTTGTAATGGATTACAGTTATAACATATATATAAAATATATTAAAAAAGGTTCTTAATGCCTCTGATATGGTTTTCAGTTAAAAGTCAGACCAATGTGGTCCTCTCCTTACTCTAGATATATTTAGATGATTACACAAGTTTTGCTCTCACTCCAGCCACTGCAACTGCAGAGTAGAAACATTGATTTCCTGAGAGTGACCCATGAATAGAGGGGTCAGTGCTTTGCATGATGTACACTGGGTGCACTGATATTTGTTCCCTTTGGGAGC